AGGCCGGGGATGTGGCTCAGTGGTCAAGTGTCCCTGAGTTCAATCYCTCKTACCCGTCACCCCTCAAAATGACCTATTCCTAGTGAGTCCTACAACTAGCAATGGCAGAAATAGATGTGAGCAGCTAGATCTCCTAACTACTGGAACAGCCAAACCATGTCACCTTCCTGGTTTCTGTGGTTCTCTGGATAGCTCAGGCTCTGGGGGATCAGGAGGGAAGCACAACTGTTCACAGGTGCTCCTTTCCAGTGCTCTCCCCAGTCTCCTAGAAGATTTCCAAAAGTCTCACCCTCTTACATAGAGCTGGTCCTGGACTATAGGCCTTCAGTACACTCCATGGAGAAGCAGTGAGTTTTGAAAACTCTCCCAAGCCTTTCCTTTTGTGCTCCTCCATCCCCAGATGGTATGAACCCCAGGGAAAGAGCAGTGTGCTGCATGAGAGTGGGGGTRTTCATTAGAACTGTGACCAGACTTGGTGTTCTTCTGGAGTATTGAGTTGTCATTATCTCTTAGTTAGATATGATTGCTAATTTAATACAGAWTTTTTTTTCCCGTTGAAGCAATTTAGCTTTGATATAGCTGAGGAAGCATCTAAAGTCTGCCTGGCACACCTTTTCACATATCAGGATTTCGATATGGGAACTCTTGGATTAGCTTATGTTGGTTCTCCCAGAGCAAACAGTCATGGAGGTGTTTGTCCAAAAGGTAAGTTTTCCCATTGGCCTTGTGAATGTGTTGCTGGAATGGTAAACTGACTGGATTACATTATTATTCTATACTTAATACATAATTTTTGTTTATGTTTCCTTTTGCTTTTAGCTTGGAATAGTAAATTTTCTTACATTATAATTCTGTATTTAATTTTTATAYGTTTCCTTTTGCCTTTAGCTTATTATAGTCCAGTTGGGAAGAAAAATATCTACTTGAATAGTGGTTTGACCAGCACAAAAAATTATGGTAAAACCATCCTCACAAAGGTATGTCCTTTGATCTTTTTAAAAGGATAGATTTGGAGTTTTGGGTGTTAGACCCTCTGTTATATATTTACATAAGTGTCTTTAAAGGGAAGAGTATGTAATGTTTTTAATTTCTGCCTAAAAGAAATACATGTTTTCTGGAGAAATAATGAGAACTTAAAAAACTATATAAAGGGGGCTGAGGTTGTGGCTCAGGGGTAGAGCGCTCGCCTAGTACTTGTGAGGCCCTGGGTTCAATCCCCAGCACCACATAAAAATAAATAAATAAAATAAAGGTATTGTGTTCAACTACAACTGAAAAAAAAAAAACTCTAAAGAATAAAATGACTTGCCAGCTTCTTTCCAGGCACGTCAGGACTATGTGTTTCTTAACCTTGCCCTCTCAGGTCCTTTGTCCWACAGCTCCTCTTGGGGCTCCTGGTGTTGGGCTGCAGCGCAGCTGTCATTTTAAGTCATCCTGTAGTCTCTTGCTGTCTGGACCCTGTGTTTTGTTTATTGATCTACGCCTTATTTTGTTATATTCTCAACAAGCCTCCTAAGAATAGGTCCATGGGATATAAATTCTTGGGATTTTGTGTATCTGGGAATGAGGCTGCTTGGGAATGAGCATAGTTGATCATGTGGCTGGGTGTGTTTGTTGCTTCAGCATTTGAAAGCCCTGCTCCCTTGTCTTCTGGTGTTTATGTTTCTGTTAAAGAGTCTGAGTCTTTGGCTTTTGCATGTGACCTATTTTTCTCTAGAAGATTTTCAGATCTTGTTTATGTGTAAATATATCTGTTCAGAGTCTGTTTGTCTACCAATAATAGAAAACTTAAAAACTGTGGCATAAATAAGGGGTTCTTTGTCTCAGTGAGAAGCAGTTAAGAGAGTCTTCTCCAGGTGGCTTTGCAACTGAGAGTTGCTTATCAGAGCCTTAGGTTTTCTGACTTGCTTTCAGCTGTTCTAAGCACAAGTCCTTTGTCCTTGTTTTGTCATCTTATGGTCACAGATGGTTCTCTCTTATGTTAGAAAAAGGTGGAGAAAGCAATCATAGCTGACCTAATCTGTCCCATTAAAAAAGCTTTTCTAGAAATTTCATTGCCTGGCTTCTTCTCTATTTTCCTGGACAAAACTGGGTTCCATGAATGCCCATAGTCCTAGAGGAATGGGGCTATTTTAGCTGAGCATATTGCTGCCCTGAACAGAATTAGGGTTCTTTAAGGAAGAAGGGGAGAATAGATATTGGTAGAAAAATATCAGTTTCTGATACACTGATATGTTGTCTATAATGTAATTGGTGTATGGTGTATGTTATTTTTCTCCACTGTTCTGGGCACATGGGCCTTTCAATCTTGAGACTTGTGTCTTTATGTAAAATGTCCTTGTGTTATTTCGTTGATAAATTTTGTCCTTTTTTAGATTCCTTTCCATGTCACCCATTATTTTTCTGTCTCGGCTTAATTTCTACAATTGATAGAATACATCATAGTCTGATTGTTATCTTTTGTAGCTCTAATCAAAGGGCTCAGTAGGCCCAGCAGACAAAAGTAACTGATGTTCAGTGTTTTCTTTGCATGGTCCTTAAGGAAGCTGATCTGGTTACGACTCATGAATTGGGACACAATTTTGGAGCCGAACATGATCCTGATGGTCTAGCAGAATGTGCTCCGAATGAGGACCAGGGAGGAAAATATGTTATGTATCCTATAGCTGTGAGTGGTGACCATGAGAACAATAAGGTATGTGTGGTTTGGAGTCTTTTAATGTGGGTAGGAAAGGAGGTGGCTGTGTGGTTTTCTCAAAATGGCAGCTCAGGGCCTGGGGTTGTGGCTCAGTGGCAGAGCGCTTGCCTTGCACATGTGAGGAACTCACTGCGATACTCAGAAGCACATAAAAATGAACATAGATATTGTGTCCATCTGTAACTAAAAAAAGAAAAAAAAAAACTTAAAAAAAAAAAGGAGCTCAGGAAAGTATTCAATTCCTAGGTATTTCCCTAGGGATGGAACTTCAAAATACCTTAAAAAAAAAAAAAAAAAAATATATATATATATATATATATATATGTATTAGTTGTAGTTGATATAATACCTTTTTAAATTTTTCTATTTTTATGTGGTGTTGAGGATTGAACTCAGTGCCTCACACGTGCTAGGCAAGCACTCTACCACTGAGCCACAACCCTAGCCCTACAAAGTACCTTGATATGTGGTTGTGTTTTGGGGTGAAGCACTTGTTCATCTACTAAAACTGTCATTTGGACATTTTTTGTTGTTGTTTGGTGTTACTGGGAATTAAACCCAGGGGTGTGATACCACTGAACTACAACCTCAGTCATGTCCATCCACCTTTTAAAAAGTTTTTATTTTGAAACAGGGTCTCCCTAAATCTTTGAGGCTGGCCTCGAACTTGCAGTCCTCTTACCTCAGCCTCCTGAGTAGCTGTTATATCAAAGTTAATCATGTGTAAATTTGGATTCTTAAAAAAAAAATAATAAAAACTTGTGTGAGTTCTRGGTTTCAGGGTTGTCAGCTCAGTCTTTATGTTAAAGATTGTCTGTCATTTCATTTAAACTTTGTTGCTCATTTTAACTCTATGGTACTTCACAATTTGCATGTTTTCATTAACTTTTGAAATAAAACACCCAGTTTGCTGAATTACAGGCCTCTTCTTTGCAGCTTTGTCTCTAGTCCTAGTAGAAGTAATGCATAATAAAGAACAGTAATCTAGTGTACAGTGGTTCCTGTGTCTGAGGTGGGATTGATTCTGGGACCCCTGTCCCCTCGGACACCAAAATCTGCAGATGCTCATATCCCTTATACAAGATCATAGAGTCTTTGCACATCTTCTTGTGTGCTTAAGTCAGCTCTAGATTACTTATAATTAATACATTATAAATGCTGTGTGAGTTGTTTTACTACATTGTTTAGAGAATACTGACAAGAAAACTCTGTCCATGTACAGTACRGATGCTTTTTTTCCCTGATTTTTTTATTTTTTTATTTTTTGGTGGAGGGGTTACGGACCAGGGATTGAACCCAGTGGTGCTTAACCAGTGAACCACATCCCAGCCCTCTTTTATATTTTATTTAGAGTCAGGATCTCACTGTTGCTTAGGGCCTCACTAAGTTACTGAGGCTAGCTTTGAATTCGCAGTCCTCCTGTTTACCTCCCAAGCCACTTGGGTTATTGGCGTGCACCACTGTGCCCAGCTCCTGAATATTTTTAATCCATGGGTGCAGAACCCACAGATATAAGGTCCAATTGTGTGAGTTGATTTGGGACGTTGTGAATAGTTTTAGAGACTGTTAACTCCTGGAGACCATACTGAAAGCCATGTTGGCAGGTCTCTGGTCCTTTTGTTTCATCCTTTTATCTGGAGCTCTGCAGCATGGGGCAAACACTCCTGTTGCTGAGGTGAAGTGAGCCAGCGGGGAGGAGTCTGAACCTGATCAGGAAGGGATGGTGAAATAGTTGCCTGGTTCCCTCTTGGAGCCAAGCTGTGGGTGAGTTTGAGTGTGAAACACGTGGAGGACAGTGTCACTGGGGTGTCCCTGCCCTCACCGGCTTTTCCRTTCCCTGCCTCTGCACTTCTTGTGATCTTGAGTATTGAATCTAGTTTTGTTCGACTGTCATGAGTAAACAGTCTTATTCTCTTGCTTTGCAATGCTACATTTTATATCTCCTTTACTTGACAACTTGTGCCTGAGAGAGATTTTCCTACCCCTTTTGCTCACTCTTCCAAATTATCCAAGCTTGAATTTTCATGTCTTTCTTAAAGATTATCTCTTCATTTCTAATCATATACATTATAGTTAGTGCCATATACACTTACAACAATGATGAGAATGGTATAGTAGCCAGTAGCCATGTGTGGCCATGGTGCAACTGAAATGTTGATTAGAAATGGGGATTGAATTTTAAATTCCACTTTATTTAAATTTAATAGTGCTTGTCTATGTTTAGAGGTAAGAATAGGCTTTAACTATAAAAGGACGTGAGAGACCTTATTGGGAGGATGGGAATCATCCTTTTTTTTTTTTTTTTAATGTGGACTACTTCATGAATTTGCTTGTTATCTTTGTGCAGGGGCCATGCTAATCTTCTCTGTATTGTTTCAGTTTTAGTATATGTGCTGCTGAAGCAAGCATCAGGATAGGAATGTTCTAAAACTGATTTATRATGATGGTTTCACTGCTTGGTAAAGTTATTATGGAAATCATGGACTTTTATCTTTGAAGTGGATGAGCTTATTAGCTGGGTGTAGTGCTGCACAACTGTAATCCTGGCACTTTGGGAGGCTGAGCCAGGATTGCAAATTTGAGGCCAGCCTCAGCAACTTAGACCCTATCTCAAAAGGGGTGGGAATATAGCTCAGTAGTAAACCGTCCCTGGGTTCAATTCTCCGTACCACCAAAAAATAAGAAAGAAATGGATTAGCTTTGTGATGTGTACATGTGCTTCAACAAACCTGTTAAAAAGAAAATAACAACAACAAACCAGTGTAGAAGCAGAAAAAAAGGGGTGACGGTATAGAGCTCATGGAGACATGTGCTGGTCAGTGTAGAAGGTGGTGAGGGGCAGTGGGCATTTACGATTCCATTCTTTCCACTGGATGGACATTTCTAAAAAAAAAAAAAAAAAAAAGGATAAAATACATTGTGGGCAACCAGTCTGAGTGTATTTGCATTCCTCCATCCTGTGATCAGAGAGGCTCTGTCAGTCACTTTTGTAGTGACCTGGATATTGCACCAATCCTTGAAGTAGCAAAATGTGTCTTTAGACATAGGCATGTAGCCCCATGGATTGAGCTACACCCACCTTTTCTTTGTGATTTTACCCCTTTGTCCTGTTTGGGATAGAATATTCCATGGAAACTCCCTTTGTGTGTCCCCCTTCTCTTGCTTTGCCTTTGGGTGTGGCCTACCTAGATGTCAGTCCAACCTGCTGACAGCAGACATCATGAAGCTAGACTCAGCCCCCTGAAACCTGACCTCTTGCCTCATTTGAATTGCTTCTTGCTCTCTTTCTGTAGACCTTTAAGGTCAGATGAGCCATCACAGGACCGGACCCCAAAAGAAAAAGGTGTCTCTGTCTGTTGTGTGGTTATTTCGTGCAGCCCAGTTCACCTGGAGTGACCCTGAATGTTTTAGTCTCGAGGAACGCGACAATACATAACAGGAAAAAAACTCTCAATAGTTATATATGGCTAGTGGCTACCATGTGGGTAGTGCCGCTATAATTGGATAGGTTCCTTGTTCCTTGGTTATGAGGACAGTGTCAGACTTTTAGTTTATAGGCTCTGCCTTGGGACATGCGTGGACGTATGCATTGTACTGTTTTTCCGCTATAAGTTCTTCCTAAGAGGGATTTTTCCTTGGATTCTCCACAGGCCTATAAGAACTTACTAAGGAGAGTGGCACCTGGGCAAAGCTGTTTTTTTCTTTAGATGTTTATCAGCAAGGAATGGCTTATTTATTTTGTCCCAAGTATATCATGTTTAGTGGTTTTTTGTTTTTTTTTTAAATAATTTGGTTTTTTCCAAGTAGCACTCTCCTTGTAAGAAGAAGATGCTGTGCATATTTTATATAAAAATGAATTCCTTAATAAAATGTTTTAATCAAATGAAAGGGGCTACAAGACAGAAATAAGGTGGTTCTTTTACCTGGTTAGGCCCTGCCTCTCTCTAGATGCGCTGATGAAGAACAACAATTAGAAGGGGGCTTCATGGGCTCTGAACAAATGAATTAGTGAAAGGAAGCATGGGGACACTGAAGGTTGTCATTTAGGAGGTTATCTGAAGGCAAGAGGAGGTTGTGAGATAAGGATGCAAATAGAAGGCAGGAGCCATTGAGGGCCTGGGTAGGCAAAAACCTTAGTGGAGGATTGGTCGCTGTTTCCTTAGCATTATCTTGGACATCTGTGGCTTAGGAGGTGTAGCTGATAATGACATTCTTTTCTGTTTACTATGAACTTAAATTCACTTGAAAGTGAACTGGTAAGATTGGACTGCTTGTTCCCTTGATGGGATATTTGGTCCCAGTATTATCATCACTTGCCTTCACTTTTAGGTCTTTAAGCAAATACATAGCAGCCATTTAGTTCCCTGTAAAGGAATATAACTCAATTCCATATAAATGACATTTTGAAGGTGACTGAGACCACTTGACTGCTGAGAGCCATAGCCGAGTGAATGATGGGACATTTTTGCCAGAACCCAGTGGTTGATGCCAGCAAACCATTGAGATGATGATGGTTATGTTAAGCTGTGTATTCAATTGTATATTAGACCCCTGCTGTCCCCCTTGGYCTGCTACTTTGGAGTCCGTGGGATTCCTGGAGAGTCCATTGGTTGGGGAAGTGAGGGATTTTCGGTGTGTTGTGTGTCCCAGGAGAAGGCCACTTGCATGGCATGGTGTTTGCAGGAGTTCGGAAATAAAGTTTGTTCCTGCTTGAGTGGCTCGTGATTTGTGCCCAGCCAGACTGCGGCACTTGACATAGCTCTGGGGTGGCTCTAATGGTGTTTTTTTTGTTTGTTTTTTAAAAATATATATCTACTTCTTTTAGTTGTCAGTGGACTTTTACTTATTTATATGTGGTGCTGAGAATCGAACCCAGGGCCTCACACATGCTAGGCAAGCGCTCTGCCACTGAGCCAGAACCCTGATGTCTTCTAATTATGKTTTTTACATTAAGAATTTGTCCCTAAAGAAACAGCTCAGGAGCTGGGGCTGTAGCTCAGTGGCAGAGCACTTGTCTAGCATGTGTGTGGSACTGATTAGATCCTCAGCACCACATAAAAAGTAAATGAATAAGTATATTGTGTGTCCTTCTACKTCAGAAAAATACTAAAAAGAAAAAAAGAAACAGTACAAACACTCACGGGAATAAATTTTAATTATATTATTTTGGGCCCTTGTGGCTTTTTCTCTCTCAAGATGTTTTCAAACTGCAGTAAGCAGTCCATCTATAAGACTATTGAAAGTAAGGCCCAGGAGTGTTTTAAGGAGCGGAGCAACAAGGTGTGTGGGAACTCCAGGGTGGATGAAGGAGAAGAATGTGACCCCGGCATCATGTACCTGAATAATGACACCTGCTGCAATAGCGACTGCACGCTGAAGCCAGGTGTACAGTGCAGGTGAGAAACACTCCCACATTGATTCTAGGGGGTTGGTACAATCAGTGTCTGTGTAATAGAAGATTGAAAATACAGGGTTTTAAAACTGTGTGTGTGTATGAGAGAGAAAAAGAGAAGCTTTCTGGAAAGCAGTTTGGCAGGATGTAAAAACATTCCTCAACTTGCATGCTTTTCCACCTAGCAGTCCCACAGTTCAGAGAATCTTTTTAAAGGAAGTACATGTACAGGAAGGTGATGTAACAAGTTCATGGCTGTATCCTTTCATAATAGCAAAATATTGGAAACAATCAAAATTGCCATCCTAGAATATAAATTAATTATCATATATCTATACAATAGAATGATGTTTSTATTTAATGACATAAACTGTGGAGAAAGCAGGTTATAATTAGAAGGTACCAATATTTCCATATTTATGTCCCCTTGATAGACTAGAGCCTGGCTTAGGAGGAAACTTTATACTTTATGGTGAATAACTGAAACTAACCTGTGCATATATATTGTGTATTAATGCTATAGATGAGTGCCAACAGGGAGTCGGGTTCTGGCRGCCTAGTGCCATAGCTGTTGATTGCCTGGTAGACCCCTGTTTTTTTCTTTCATTTAATTAATGCGTTAATAAAAACCAAGGACACTGAGGTGTTGTAAAGATGATMTCTCTGTATCCTTATTCTTTCCTACTAAAGTGTGGTATTGATGCTGCCTTATCTACATTAGGAAGGGGCAGAGGGTGGGCTGTTGACTCTAACTCCAGGGAAGTCTGACTATGCAGGAGTGGTGCGTTAGGCAGGGGTCTTTCCTGTGATGTCGCTGTAACAGCACTGTAGGCGTTTAATGAGGGCCTGTCATTTGAATTGAATTGTCTCTGTTCTTCCACAGTGACAGGAACAGTCCTTGCTGTAAGAACTGTCAGTTTGAGACTGCCCAGAAGAAGTGCCAGGAGGCTATTAATGCTACCTGCAAAGGCGTGTCTTACTGCACAGGTAGTGCTTTTGCTGCTCTCTTGGAATACTGTGGTTCAAGTGTGAATGTATATGCTTGAAAAATAAGTGATGTTTGGTTTAGATGAAAGCAACCCCTTAACTCTTGTTGTTTGCCACGTGCTCACTTCTTTCGTGAGAGACACTGTGTTGCAATGTGTCATATACTTGTAGAACTGGTGGGTCTGTGTTTTAGTCAGCTTTTTTTCTTCCTTTTGCTCCTGTGACTAAAAGATCTGACCAAAACAATTTTAAAATAGGAAAAGTTTATTTGAGGGCTCATGGTTTCAGAGGTCTTAGTCCGTAGAGGGCAGCTCCATTCCTCAGGACTTGAGGTGAGGCAGAACATCATAGTGGAAGAGTGTGGCAGAGGGAAACAGCTAACATGCTGATCAGGAAGCAGAGAGTCTCCACTTGTCAGATACAAATACATACCCCAAAGCCATACCTCTCCACTTCAGCTACCACTCAGTTAATTCCTATTYGGGGATTAATGCACTGATTGGGTTAAAGCTCTCACAACCCAATCATTTCCCCTCTAAACCTTCTTGCATTGTCTCACTCATGAGCTTTTGGGGGCCACCTCACATCTAAATAATAACAACCTGTGACTCTTATGCTCACTGTTTTTGCCCTCAGGGAACAGCAGTGAGTGTCCACCACCAGGAAATGCTGAAGATGATACAGTTTGCTTGGACCTTGGCAAGTGTAAGGATGGGAAGTGCATCCCCTTCTGTGAGAGGGAGCAGCAGCTGGAGCCCTGTGCGTGCAATGGTGAGCATGGTTTAGCACTGAGTGCTGCAGCAGGAGGAAATATGGCCTTTGCCTTCCAGATTCCCTATGGAGACCTGGCATGTCAGCTGCTCACAGCTGGTAAAGGTAGTGATGAGAACCAAGTCAGTGACCAGGAGAGCAGGAAGGCAGGGCAGTGTCTACACGCATCTCTGCATTCAGACTCTGGCTCTCCACCTACCTGCATGAACTGCCCAGTGGTTGTCATCTTGCTTCATTTTTAGACCATGTGGCAGT